CTGTTTACCTTTTCATGCTTCTCTTGAGTCTTGTATTTGAAAGTCATATTTTCTATTCAGCTCTGGTCTTTTCAATGAGAGTACTTGAAAGTCTTCTATTTCACTGTCCATTTTTACCCCTGAAGGGTTATACTCATTTTTACTGGGTAGGTGGTTCTACATCCTATCTTCTTTGACCTCTGGAATATTATATTCCAAGACCTCCAGTCCCTTAATGTAGAAGCTGCTAAATCACGTGTTGTCCTGATTGTGTTTCCACCATACTTGAATTGTTTCTTTCTGGGCTGCTTGCAATATTTTCCTCTTGACCTGGGAACTCTGGAATCTGGCTAAAATATTCCTAGGAGTTTTCCTTTAGAGATTTCTTTCAGGAGGTGATTGGTGGATTCTTTCAGTTTCTGTTTTGCACTCTGGTTCTAAAATATCAGGTCAGTTTTCCTTGATAATTTCTTGAAAGATGATATCTAGGCTCTTTTTTTGATCATGGTGTTCAGATAATAATTTTAATTTTAAATTAATTTTAAATATTTTATATTTTAACATAATAATTTTAAATATTTTTAATTTTAATATATTTTAATTTTAAATAATTTTAATTTTAATTTTAAATTCTCTCTTCTGGATCTGTTTTCCAGGTCAGTTGTTTTTCTAGTGAGATATTTCACATTGTCTACTATTCTTTCATTCTTTTGCTTTTGTTTTACAATGTCTTGATTTCTCGTAAAGTCACTGGCTCTGTTCTAATTTTTAAGGAAGTATTTTCTTCAGTGAGCTTTTGGACTTCCTTTTCCATCTGGCCAATTCTGCTTTTTAAGGCATTCTTCTCCTCATTGGCTTTTTGGATCTCTTTTGCCATTTGGGTTAGACTATTTTTTTTAAGGTTTTATTTTCTTCATTATTTTTTTGGGTCTCCTTTAGTAAGCTGTTGACTTGTTTTTCATGATTTTCTTGCATCACTCATATTTCTCTTCCCAGTTTTTCCTCCATTTCTTACTTGCTTCTCAAAATCCTTTTTGAGCTCTTCCATGGCCTGTTACCAATTCCTATTTTTCTTTGAGTCTTTGGATGTAGGAGCTTTGACTTTGTTGTCTTCTTCTGGTTGTATGTTTTGATCTTCTTTGTCACCAAAGAAAGATTCTGTAGTCTGACTTTTTTGTTTCATGCTGTTTGCTCATGATCCCAGCCAATTACTTGAGTTATAAACTCTTTGTTAAGGTAGGGGTCTGCTTCCAGTGTGGAGAATGTACTGTCCCAAGCTTCGGGGGTTTTGTGTAGCTGTTTTCAGAGATATTCGTAGAGACCTATAAATTTTCAGTTCTTCCAAGGTGGTATGATCAAGGGCAAGGTGTTTACTCCTTTCTGACCTGTGGTCTGGTCTATGAGTGACCACAAGGACTCTTTTCTGCCTTTTATCTGTGAGGAGGATTCTCTCTCCATTGCCACCACCATCTCCACCATGCCAACACTCCTCCTTGCTTCAGGACTGCCACCCAGAACTGTGACCCAGATCCAGGCATGGGCAAAGCAAGGGAATTGTGCCTCACCACCAGCAGAGATCCCTGTAATCCCCCTCTCATCTGTCACTTGATTCCCTCTCTGTCTGTGGGCTGAGATCCAGAAGCAGGCACTGCGCTGGGGCTGCGTAGGAACTAGGGCCGGGACCAAGCTTCTCTCTCACCATGGTCACACACTTTTCCTACTGACTGTCTAAGTTGTCTTTGGCATTTGTGGGTTGAGAAGTCTGGAAACCACCACAGTTGCCTATGATCCAGTCCTCTGAGGCCTGCTTCAGGTTTGCTGTGACCTGGTCTTTGCCTGCATGCCCACTCTGAACTGCATTCCTTTCCCAGCCTGGTGCCATAGACCTTTCCAATCAACCATCCAGGTTTTCTTGGCCTAGAAATGTTTCACTCTGTCTTTTTGTGGGTTCTGCTACTCTAGAATTCGTTTAGAGCCTTTTTTTGCAGATTGTTGGAGAGGTTTGGGGGAGAGCTCAATCAAGTCACTGCTTATATTCTGTCATCTTGCTCCAGCTCCTCACTTACCATTTTTCTTTGGGGTTTTGCCCATAGGTCTTTTGACATTGTTTTCCTCTTTAGTGTCTTGATCTTCCCTGTCACCATAATAGCTTTCTGTGGTCAGATTCTTTCTTCCTTTATTTTTTGCCTGTCTATTTTGACCTTTTTCCTTTCTTTTAAATTAGATCTCCGCTCCTGGAGTGGAAGATCTGCCCTCTGGATGCTGCCTTTTTGCCCTGACCTATGCTGAAGAATGTTTTGGTTCTCAGGAGCTGGAGTGTATAGGTTTCCCTGAGTATGCTAAGTCATGTGGCAGGTCCTGGTGTTGGTGTTTGTCTGCTGAACCACACTTGGCTCAGGATCTCCTGCTTGTTTACTCAGGTGGGGCTTGCTGCTGGTTTGCTGGGAAGCTTCCTGTCCTGAACTGCATTCCCCTTTTGCTTGAGTGAGACAGACTTTTCTTGCCTGGTTTTCTAACTTTCTTGGGCTAAAAGATTGTTTTACCCTGTCGTTTTGCTGGTTCTATTCCAGAATTTGCTTCGGGCTCTTTTTTATGGTTGTTTGGAGGTGAATATGGGAGAATTATGGCAATTTACTGCTTACTTCTCTGTCTTGGCTCTCCAAAGTCTCTACTTTTGTCTCTTTAAATCTCAGTTTCTTCATCAGCAAAATGAAGGGGTTGCAGTGGATGACCTCTAAGGTCACTTTCTGCTTTTAAGTTTGATTCTATGGATGAGCTAACTTATAGCCATATCTCTTTAGATTTCTTCATTGTTGTCCCTTCTAGTACCATTTTGAACTTTTTCTGGAATATTTATGTGAAAACCCTCACTTGATCTTTTTATCCCAGCTAACTATGGTCCTATATGTCTTTTACCCCTTATAGTAAAATACTTTGAAAAAAATCTGTCTTCAATAGATGACTCTATTTTCTTTCCTCTCACTCTCTTCTTAATCCTTTGAGTTTGGCCTTTGACCTTATCATTCCACCGAGACTGCTCTCTCCAAAGTTACCAGTAATCTTAGTTACCAAGTCCAGTGGCCATTCTCAATCCTCATTCTTCTTGACTTCTCTGCAGTTTTTGATACTGTTGATCACTCTCTCCTCCTTGGTACTCTCTTCTCTCTTGGTTTTCAGAGGCACCAATCTTTCCCAGTTTCCCTGCCTATCTGACTGCTCCTCAGTATCCTTTGCTGGATTTTTATCTAGGTCATGTTCTCTAACTGTAGGTATCTCACTGTAGGTCCTCTGTTGTGGACCCTATTTTGTTTTCTGTGTATACTATTACTTCACTTGGAGATCTCATGAGCTCTTATGGGTTTAATTAATCTCTCTAATAACAATTCTTGTATCTAGGTATGCTGCCCTAACCTTTTTGCTGACCTCCAGTCTCACACCTCCAGCTGCCTTTCACACATCTTAAAATGTGTGATTTTCCTAGCCCCAATCTCCACATTTACTATTATTGTTAAGGGCACTAACATCTTTCCAGTTCCTCAGGCTCAAAAACTAGGTGTCATCCTCAACTCCTGACTATTGTTCATTGCTCCCCCCCATCCCAACCCCAAATCCAATCTTTTGCCAAGGCCTATTGATTTCAGTATTGCAACATCTCTTAGTTATATCTTTTTTTTCCTCCCCTGACTCTGCCACCACTTTGGTGTAAACCTTCATCATCTCATGCCTAGACTATTGCAGTAGTCTTCTGGTGGGTGCCTGAGGTCTCTCTTCACTCCTGTCTATCCCCCATTCATCCACAAATTGATTTTCCTAAAGCTCGTGTCTGACCAGGTCATCCTCTACTCAGTAAACTCTGATTGCTTCCCAAATCAAATACAAAATCCTCTGTTTGGTATTCAAAACTCTTCATAACCTAGTCCGCTCCTGCCTGTCCAGTCTGGTTATGCTTTACTCCCTACCACATATTCTTTAATCAATATCATTGGCCTCCTTTCTTTTCCATGAACAAGACACTCCATCTCTTAGCTCTGGGCTTTTTCTCTGGCTGCTCCCCTGCCTGAAATTCTGTCCTTTCTCAAGTCTGCCTACTGACTTCGCTGGGTTTCTTTAAGGCCCAACAAAAATCCCACTTTGTACAGGAAGCCTTCCCAACTCCTCTTAATTTTAGTGTCTTCCTTCTGTTAATTGTTTCCTATTTATCTTGTATATAACTTGTTTGTATATATTTGTTTGCATATTATCTACTTTATTAGATTGTGGTCCCTTGAGGGTAGGGGCTTTTTTGCCTCTTTTTCTATCTCTAGAGCTTAGCTCAATGCTTGGCAGATAGTGGGTGTCCAATAAATGGTTAATGATTGATTGATATCTTGGTTCCTTTTGTTGTTTCTTGTCTAGAAGTGAGCTGTCTCATAGTTTTAAACTCTTGAGAAAAAGGGCTTTATTGAATGTTGTTGGTTATTGGAATTCTCAGGATATAAGATATCAGCTCAGATATCATGTCATTGAAATGAATGAATGAGACCCATCTCTTTAAATTGGTCTACATTTAGTCTGGAACCAATTTAAAAAAATTCTGCTACATAATTTTTGTATTTTTTAGATATTGGAGAAAATAATATATTCTTTACTTTCATGAATTGTTTGTAGCTATAGTTACATGGATAGTTATAGTATATGGTATATATATAGTTAAAGTAGAGTTTATAGTTATAGTTGTAGTTATAGTTATATATAGTTGTAGTGGCATTTTGGTTTAAATATCAACTCTATCTAGATGAAAAGCCAATTCAGGGTTTTAAAGGTACAAAATTCACTGGCAAGGAGGGCTAAGGATGGAGATGTGAGGTTCAAGATAGAATCTGTCAGTCAAGTGTCTTAAAAATATACCTAAGAATTTGAAAGAGTGATGGAGAATGAGAGTAAAATTTGCATGCTGAACTGAGATCTCTTGTTTCTTTGTTATGACTTAAATGGAAATTTCTCTTAAAAACTTCCATAATAATCCTAGTTTTCTGTTTTAGGCAGCAGAGACCTTTGAGGGTGGAAGTGGTGAAACCCATACTACTTCTCCAGCTATTCCATGGGCAGCATTTCCAACAGGTACTGGTTTTTAATAACTGGCAACTATCTTACATTTCAGCATATATTATTATTATTAATTTAGTTTTCTCTGCACGTTATTGAGGCACTTATCCTTCTCTGGGTTGGAAAAGAGGACATTGAATCCATTCTTTAACTTATTTCTTGTGTAACAGATGTGCAGTGTTGCTTCCAGATTTGATTCTAAAAATGGTAAAATGAACATTAAATGAATTGAGTTATTCACATTCTATGACTGGCCTGAGTTTTAGAAAGTAAATATGCCAAATAACTTTTCATAGTTTATTCAATTTAATGGTAAGAGAATCTCTGTATTCCTCAGAATAAAAGAGATTCTCCATTGTCAACATTATAAACATGAAGTATATTTATTATGAATTTGGAGAAAGACTATTAAAATTGGAATTGATAATGAAAATGGAAATGTACTTTTAAAAAAATCAAATATAAAAATTAGTTCCATTAAGATGGACTAATTGAAAGATCTAAAGAATGGCAGCCAGTTTTCATATACATACTTTGTACATAGTAGGTGAATAATAGGTACTATTATTGATATTAAGGAATTATTATTGGTTTAATGATGATATGTATATAGTATTTTAAGGCATTTTTGCTCAGCCAGTCAAGTCAGCAAAAAGGAAGAAAATGAATATAGAAACTTTCCTTTCATTCAACAAGTATTTATTGAATACCTGTGTTCATGGTACTGTCATTGATATGGGGATGTATCAGATATGATTTGTACCCTCAAAACAAGAGGATAACATGCAGCTAAGTATAATATAAAGCATCATGTGGTTAGTACCATAAGAATAATATGACCAGTGTGGAGGGAGAGATCACTTGTAACTGGAGAGATCAGTCAATCAGGGGTTTCCTGAAGGAAATAGCTTTTGAAGTGGACGCTGAATTATGATGCACTTTGATAGGCAGATGTCAAAGAAGGAGAACAATCCAGGAAGAGGTAATAGCAAAAATGAAGGTCTGCAGAGTTTGGAAAAATCATGTTGTATTTAATTTGCTCATAATGTAGAGTGGGCAGCTAGGTAGCAGAGTGGATAGAATGCTGGCCCTGGATTCAGGAGTACTGTGATCCTGGGCAAGTTACTTAACCCTGTTTGCCTCACTTTCTTATCTGTAAAATTAATAGGAGAAGGAAGTGGCAAACCACTCCACTATCTTTGCCAAGACAACCCCAAATGGGGTCATGGAGAGTCGAACTTGACTGAACAACTCAGCAACAACACAACAAAAGAGGTTGACAGCAGAAGAATTGGGGAAGAAAGATGGAAAAACCATATTGAAGCTGTTTTATATAGCGTTTTGAATGCCAAGCTTACTAGTTTCTACATTATTTGGAAGACAAGAGGGAGCCATTAAAGGTTTTTAAATTAGGGAATGAAACATGTAAAGCTGTATGTTAGGCAGATTAATTGGACGCCAGTATACAGGATTGATTGAAGAAGAAAGACTGGAGGAAGGCTATTTCAGTAATCTTGATATGAAGTCATGAGTATCTAAAATAGCGATGCAACTTTGAAAATAAAAAAGAATGGGAACAGTAAGAGAAAATTTTGACGAAAGAATCACTTGGATTTGATAACTGATTGAGATGTAAGGAAGAGAAAGAATAAAGAAGCTTACATTTATAGAGGACTTTAAGATGTGTGAAGCATTTTACATATGATTTCTCATTTAATGCTGACAACAACCAGTTATGGTAGATAATATTGTTATTGCCTTTTTTGTGATGAGGAGAATAATGAAAGAGGCTAAGTGACTTGATGGCAATCACAGAAATAACAAGTATCAGAAGTGAGATTTGAACCAAAATCTTCCTGATTTTAAGTCTCTAGAATTGTTTACTATGCCACAATGATTAAAGATTTGAATTTTGATTTCTTCCTTTGAAATCTGCCTGTTTATATCCTTTGAACATTTATCAATTGCGGAGTAGCTCCTATTTTTACAAATTTGTCTCAGTTCTTTATGTATTTGAAAAAGTGAGATTTTTATCAAACATGCTCTAGTTCTCCCCTCCCCCCAGTTTCCTGCTTTCTCCTAATTTTGACTGTAACAGTTTTGCTTATGCAAATTTTAAAAAAAATTTTATGGAGTCAAAATTATCCATTCTACCTGCCATAAATCTGTCTTGTTTGGTCAGTGAGCTCTTTCCCTATCCATAGATCTGATAGGGAGTGATCTGGTCACTGCCCTCCTGGTATATCCTCAGGTTCTTACTGAGGTAAGGTTTTTGTTCTCTTTTGACTACAACCAATCTTCTCTGCCTTGGAACTATGACCTGTCCCTAGTGGTAGCACAGGAGTCCCCCTGGAATCTCTTTCTGACTTTTCAGTCCCCTTATTGTCCCTGCTGCCATTGCTGCTTCTGCCACTATTGCCACTGTTGCCGCTATTGCAGCCTTCAAGGCCCACGCCTGGTACCACTTCCGCTGTGCCACATTCCCAGCCAGCCTCCATTCCAGTATTGGCAGGCCTGTCTTTCTGTCCTCCTAAGCTTTCCTGGGTTGGAAAACTGATTCACTGTGGCTTTTTATTGGTTATCCTGCTCATACTTCAGTGTGACAAACTTTTAAAAGTGTTTAGAGGAATGTGTTGGGAGAACTTGGCAAAAAATGATCACTTTATTCTGCCGTCTTGGTATACCCTATGTCTATGATTTCAATAATGTATGTACTCCCTCTACTAAGACAAATCAGAATCTCTCTGTGCTTTAATAGACAGTTTTATAAATTTCATAATGGACAAAAACAGATTATCATCTGGTAGCCAATATTCTGGTGATGACTCTCTTTTAACTTGAGTAGGCTACTAGTTGGATGAGAAATATGTTTAGTTTTCTGTTGTTCATCTTTTATTCAATGTTTGGTGTTTGACCTTGGCAAAGATTTTGGTTCACCTCTCTTCAGCAGTGGGATATTGGCATAGGGCGTTAATGACATTAGTGAGCATGCTATTAATAATGATAACTTCAGATTTATGTAACACTTTATATTTTAAAAATCTCATTTCTCAAAATAACACTTGAAGGTAGATAGAACAAATAGTCCCTGGTATGATTGAATCATTGGAGTGAATATCGTTTCCATGATATTCTAATTATAATCTGTATAATCACAATAATCTAATTGTAAGTTGGCTATCTTTAACATCCTACAGGTGGCATAGTCTGTAGTCTACTTATCATCTTGTTAACCTTCTTCTAGACCTTCTGCTAGACTCAAGCTTGTTATCATACATGCTAGATAAAAAGTGGTGCCTGGAACTAGGCATAATCCTTCAGCTGTGATCTGTCTACAGTGGAGGAGAGCAGGAATATTAATTTCCACATTCTGGATGATATGCCTATCAGTGTTGCCTTAGATTCCTTTCTTTCTTCTTCTTCTTTAGTGTTTTTTATTCTCAGTATCACAGATTCTCCTAGTTGGATGGAACTTCATCCAACTTCATATAGTCAAATCCAGACCTGAGTAAGAGTCCCCTCTACAAAGCATTTAGCAAGTTGTAACCCATCCTTTGCTTGAAGATCTCCAGTGAGGGAGAATTCTCTACCTCTTGGAGTAACTTGTTTTTGTTTTTGTTTTTGTTTCCCTTAACCTATACCATCCATAGCATTGTACTGGACACAAAAGAAATAGACCAGAATGGACAAGTCATTGATCCTTCCTCATGGAGCTTAAAATATAAAGTCCTAACTTCACTGTTACCTATTTGTCTGTCTCTCTGTCTCTGTCTCTCTCCATATATATATGTATATATGTATACATATGTATGATATGTATATGTATGCCTATGTATATGTAGTCTTTAAAATTGAGCAAATATAAGGTTGAAATTAAAACATCTAACTCCAGGTCTTCCAGCAATTGTAGTTCACTAGTCTCAAAAATCAGGTTAGTTTTATAGGAGGCCTTCTTTTCTCTGGGTTTTGGCAAAGAATTCTAAAAATAGAAGGAGAAGAAAATTATTAAAGGTCTCCATGAAAAGTAAGGTACAGTAGGTTTATATATAGCCAAAAAGTTTTCAGTATTTGACAGAGAGGATTTGTCTGCTGGAGAAGTCAGTTTCTTGCTCTAGAGTCTGGAAAATGTTTCGATAAGAATGATGTGAACAGTCTGATTAGCATGATGGTCTAATTACCTCTACACTAAAACACAGACAAGATAGAAATGCTGGGAATATAAAGCTGATCCTTTTAATACAAATAAAAGAGAAAATAAAATAGTTTTTCCCTGTTATGTTATCTGTTCTTCTGCTTATTCCCACCCAGGACAATAATTTAGGAAAATGTTCTCCTCATATTCAAAAATTTTCTTACAGGTCTAAAGCCTAGGAAGAAGTCTAAAAAAACCCCCAGCCAACCAAAGACTACCTTCCCTCGCAAGTAACATTCTTTCCTTCCCATTTCTGAAAAGAAAAGCCCTCATTCTTATAGGAAGACTGTGAGAGTTTTCTTGTCTTTTAAAGCAAAGCAAAAAAATGAAAAAAACAGGTAAGGGAGGAAACTATATCTTGCTGAAAGTTATCATGACACCTACACAAAAATGGACATAAAAGCCTCACAGCCAAATGCAGAAATGGTAAATGCATCCTTTTTAGATCATCATGCAATAAAAATTACATTCAACAATAGGCAATGAAAAGATAGATTAAAATATTATAATAAAATTATAATTAAGAAAACTATTGAACTACTAAAAGCTAAGCTGATTTTGTGAAAAAACAATAAAATAGATAAACCTTTGGTTAATTTGATTAAAAAAAAAGAAAACCAAAGTACCAATGTGAAAAATGAAAAGGGTGAATTCACCACCAATGAAGAGGAAATTAAAACAATAATTAGGATCTATTTTGCCCAACTATATTCCAATAAATCTGACAATTTAAGTGAAATGAATGTTTACAAAAATATCAATTGCCCAGATTAACAGAAGGAAAAAAAACTTAAATTGCCCCATTCCAGAAAAAGAAATTGAA